CGGTGACATTCAATGTCCAACACTGTCGCCTTGCACAAAAATATTTAAAAAAACAAACAGCTAACCTAGAAAAGCAGCCATATTTCACAGGAACTCATGTGCTTTATGCTCAACCACTCCATGCACATGTACAATTATCAAAATATAACTCCTTGTTGAGGTGTGACATCTTATATTATAGTTTTAGCTTATTGTGATCATGAATATAGGAATTAATATTACCGTGTCAGTTTACCTTCAACTCAGCAGATAACACACAATGGATACAGAATACCTAAAGAAACATCTAGGCTTAACATTAACACAAGCATTGGCTGAAACTGCTGAGAAGAGGCCGTTAGACCCAATTGAATATATAGCACAATGGCTCTATAAATACAAAGAAAATGAACATTATCATCAAATGGTAATATATCTGAAATTTACTTCAATGTCTACTCATGGAGGTAGAAAAGAGAAGGAGTGAGGACGCTATTTAAGCCCATGTTAATTTTATAAACATCCTTTGTCTTCGCTCTGGTTAAGCCACTTATTGTTTCTGTTTAGAAGTCGTTTTATCAGCATCATGATAGCCGCTTATTTACACAAGAAAATGAGAGTAGAACTGAAAAAAATAAATTACGTTTAAACATCGTCTATGTATATTGAATGCGCAAACCATAAATAAAAGAATTGTACATGCGCAATGACCTTTATCGAATCACAAAGGTCATTTCACACTTGTAGGTACCGGAAATTCTGCATACGGACGCTACCAAGATGTGTGATTACTTCTTTTCTGATATTTTTCATCGCAATAGTCGTCCAACTTTGGACATTGATTAAAAAAATCCCGCAAATTTCCGCAGTGAAATTTAAAGATACATGTACATGATAAGATTATAACAAGATGTTCTGACGAGTAATTTTTCATTGGTGTGCAGAACTGTGCAGATGTTGAAAATCGTGCCTTTTGTTGCAATAGATTTGGGGCATTGAGTACACTCAGCATACGTCTTTCGCTGCATTTTGTTTCATTATTGTCTGTTTGGACATGTGCAGTGCGTTGAGAATCTTCGTGAAGCTTCCGAATACAGCCGATTAACTGTGACCTTGTACAGCATGTTTGCAAACTAATTACAATGTGTACTGAGTAAACAAATCCAAAGCATCATGAAACCAGCGGAAACAATAGCGTCCTCACTCCTTCTCTTTTCCACCTCCATGGTCTACTGGTGGTATATTAGGAGAACTCTGTCATACAAAAGCATCTCAGCCTCAGTGCTTACTTGCTAAAATATGAATGTCGTAGCAATAGGCTCCCATGATTGTAGATTGAAAATGTCAATTCAAACTAACCGTGTGGTTACCACTGTATCTGTTTTTGTTGGGGGGGGGGGGGGGTATTT